TATATATGTCAGGCTGCCTACTCTATGTCAGGCAGTGGAGAAACAAATAAATATCCATTTTAGACAAAAAGATAAATAGGATCCAATCCTCTGTTCTCAGGGGACTCCAAACCAGAAGACACATATTTTTTTCTTTTTCTTTCCTCCTTTTTTTTAACCAAAATGAGAATAACTTAAAAATCTTCCCAAAGTCCCCGGTGGGAGTATATTTTCATTGCAATCAAACCACTCTGCTGCCTTCTGTGGCTGTAACAGTGATGGTCTGCTCTAACAGGAGGTCCACAGTGTTCTCTCAGGAGCCGCTCAGGCAGGGGTCAGGCAGAGGTGGCCTTGTGCTAGGGTGGAACTGGGGAGAAGACAATGAAAAGCCAGAGCCTACCTGTTGCGCTTAGGAGACAAAGTTAGGATGACCACAGATTTTTGTTGTTACTGTTTCCGAAATCATTCATTCACTGTTTGCTAATTATGTGCCAAGCACAGTATTATGTATTGTATTATAGGTTGATTCACACCAGTCCATAAGGAACTGTTCCTGTCCCCACTTCAAAATGCAGGAACTGAAACTCAGGTTCAACCAGTAACTCAAGGTTACTCAGAAGTTGCAAATCTAGATTTAATCCCAGGCTCTCTGTTCCCAAAGCCCCATATCCTTTTTTTTTTTTTTTTTAATTTCCTTAAGGTTTTTTTCCTTCTCTTTTTGAAATTTTAAAAAAATTGAGATATAATTGACATATAACATCATATTAGTTTTAGATATTAAACATAAAGATTCGATAATCATATATATTGCCAAATGATCACCATCTTAACCATTATATTGCAGAGGCTTCACAAATAATTTCAACTGACATGGAGGACACGGCAATATCTAAAGGGTGTGGCAGCAAACAGATGGTGGTTCACGCAATCCATGGGCCCCATAGATAAACAAGAAAGAACTGGAGCCCTGATAGTCCAAACAGAGACAGGACAACTACACAACAGATGTCTGCCAATATTTTGGGATGCCTGCCACTAGGCTCCAGGTAGAGTGGAGAAGAGAAGAGCGGCAAAGAGCACAAGCTAGAAGCGCAAGACCAGAGGGCGGGGCTGCTGGACGGGTTACAGACAGGGCCTCAGGCTGGGGAAGCTGCCTTGGTCAGAACAGGGGTCTGGGGCTTATGCAATGAAATTCAGGAACAATGGGGCAGAAGAAGAATGAAACCCAGAAGCCAGGCTTACTCTTTGATGAGTCAGTCATACAGGGCTGGGCTGCTCCTGGCCTTCGTTGTTTTAGCCACAGAGCCTATTTTTGAGCATTAAATGACTCACATCCCAGGAAATCAGCACCCAGGAGTCTGGCAAGTGGAACGATTGGATAGTTTCCTGAGCTCCCCAGAGGCATCTTTCACAACCTCAGTAGTTCTTTTCCAGCAGCGTTTCAGCAGGCACTCCTAAAAGGCTTAACTTCAATTGACTTCAGTTCAGAGTTCCTTTTCTTAAGAAGTTCGGAAAAGTTTTCAGGATGTGTCCCTGCAGATAGGTTTTGCTAAGGAATGTTTTTGTAGCTCTGGCTTCCACTTCCTTGATCTGTACTATCATTGTCAATTAAAATTCCAAAGTCAGTGCTCAGCTTCCCTTTGTTCTCCCAGAGAGACAGGAGTTACCTGTTTGAGAGGCACTGGTTTATTGCCTGTAGTAGTGCCTGCTTTGCTGAACTATGAGAAAGAACTAATTAAAAATGAAACAGAATGAGATTTCTTAGAATGTGAGTAGGCTTCAGTTCTAGCAACAGATTTTAGCAAATGGATTTAATTGCTTTTCTTTTATTTGTGCATCTTTAAAATTTTATGTCAATTTCCTTTTCCTTTCCATGGTACAAATGACAAGGATTTGCAAGGTGGTGTTTCAAGAGATGGCTGTAGAGGATAGGAATGCAATGGGGAGTTTTAGGCTGTAGTGAGCAAGGTGACTACCACTTAAGTCACTCCCCCACGATCTCTGGAAAAGCAGCCATTGCTCTCTCTTATTTGTATATCTGTGGATCCTTTTTATGGGAACTTGAAAATGCATTCCAGAGTTTGGGTTGGTGCAGAATGCAAACAGATGTCATATAGTCTTGTGCCACAGTTGGATCAGGAGGTGACATCTGACTTCAGGGTTATCTCAGATAAGACACCATGTTCCTTGCTTACTTGTTGATAGAAGTCAAATTCAATTCGTCTTAATTTAATTCAGTTAGTTTATTATGCATTCATCAAATACCTGCAGCATGCCAGCTATGATCTCACAGTATAGCAAAAGAAACAGATGCTAACAAATTAATGAGAATATACTATGATGCTTGATAATCTGGGAGGATTACATGAATGAATGAATACATAGGAGATGCTCGTTAGAGAATACATAGGAGCTTTTTAGAGAAGAGAGCATTAGGGATGAATCTTTTTAATGAGCGGAAATTGGTGAGATGGAGAAGTGGGAAAGAAAATTGGAGGAAGAGGGACCAGCATGTGCACAACTGCAAAGTGCCTGGAGGGGTCTGAGAGTGGTGACCAGTCCATTTATAATGTAGAATGGAGAGAGATGAGACTGGAGAGAGAGGTGGCCAGCACTGATGGACTTACAGGCAGTGAGACTCACTAAAGTGATTTTAGCAGGGAGGTGACAAGATAAGATCTATGTTTGAGAACTATCGCTCTAGAGACAGTTGGAAATGGATTGTGGGCAATGGATAGTAGGGAGGCTTGGGAGGAAGAGGAAGAGTGGCTGAAAAACATGAACTGGCCAATAACTGTCTGTGCTGGTTTGTTATGTTGCAGTCTCCAGCTGCTCTCTTTGCTTGGAATGATGCTTCTTGCCTCTCAATCCCTTGGCTACTGCCTCCTCCTTCCACCCATCTCCACTCCTGCCTCCATTTTCCTTTGCCTGACTTCTACCCATCATTTGGTTTTTGCTTATAAATCAACTCAGGAGGGCCTCGGGAGGTCTTTCCTGATTGCCCTAGTTAGTCTAATTTATATATATATTTGATTGATATTTTGTTAACATCATTCCTCCTATATAACCTTAAAGCTTCATGAAGGAAGGATAAATTTTTATATTTGTGTGCTCACTGATACATTTCTAGCATCTAGCAAAGAGTGGATATTTAATATTTGGTGAAAAGACAAATGAAGTCTAAGTCAGTATTTTCCATTTCTTTAAAAAGTTTCTTTGAAGAGTGCTTTTAAGTAGTCCTAGTGATGGTCTCACATCATTCAGGAAACAACAGCAACAACAAAAAGTGAAAGAGAAAACAAAAGAAAATAAACCACCCCAGAGAACACCACTCTACTTGAATTCTTTGGAAATTAGCATAGGTCATTTTGTGGTCAGTCTTGGTGTCTGAATCTCTAATGGATTTGTGGACAAAAACACAGCTCAAAAGGACTTTATTTTCTCTTTTTCCCTCTTTGCAGAGAATATATAGTTAGATTTTCATATGTTAAATGCGTGCATAATGTGCTGCTATAATCCAATTGAAATGTTGCTTAATTTTGATTCAATGTTAATAAACTTTGCATAATATCAGTTCTGTGCAAGACGCTAAACTAAGCATGGCAAATTCTTCTCCAGAATATAAGCTCCAAGAGGGCAAGATCAAGTCTATTCTATTTACCATTGTATGCTCCAAAGCCTATCACAGATATTGACACAAAGTAGGCATTAGAAGATATATGTTAATTGCAGAGGTGCACAAATGGATTAAAAAGATGTGCAAGGCATCCTCTCTGTTCTTTGGAACAGACAAGATGATCTTTGGAACATATAATAATATATTTTTTGAAACATATAATATAATGAATGGTGAGATCAGAGAAGTTTCAGGTCCTAGATCTGAGATCAAACTTTAGGGGGATAAGTCAAAGAGAGAAAGACAATTATCATATGGTTTCACTCATATGTGGAATATAAGAAATAATGCAGAGGATCATAGGGGAAGGGAGGGAAAACTGAATGAGAAGAAATCAGAGAGGGAGATAAATCATGAGAGACTCTTGACTCTGGGGAACAAACGGAGGGTTGCAGAAAGGGAGGTAGGTTGGGGGGATGGGGTAACTGGGTGATGGGCATTAAGGAGGGCACGTGATGAGATGAGCACTGGGTGTTATATGCGACTAATGAATCAATGAACGCTACTTCAAAAACTAATGATGTACTATATGTTGGCTAATTGAATTTAAATTAAAAAAAAAACTTTAGGGGGGAAAAACTCATGAAAGACGTCAGTCAACTAATTCATGGGAATTTACACAGCTTTACTGGGCACATTTGACCAGCCACATTTTACAAACATGTATTCTGGTAGAAAATAAAGAGCTGTATAGGGCAGCTTTCATGTCTTAAACGTATGAAACATCTAGCAAAACAGTATTTCCTGATTCTTGTACTTGGAGGCTCCTGTTTTTTTCTGTTCATGTTTCAGGAATACACAAGAACTAAGTTATGCACAGGGGTGTTTTCCTAGCCTGGGCAGGAACAAAGCATCAGAGGGGCGCCTGGGTGGCTCAGTTGTTAAGCGTCTGCCTTCGGCTCAGGTCATGATCCCAGGGTCCTGGGATTGGGCCCCACATTGGGCTCCCTGCTTGGCAGGAAGCCTGCTTCTCCCTCTTCCACTCCCCCTGCTTGTGTTCCTGCTCTTGCTATCTCTCTGTCAAATAAATAAATAAAATCTTTAAAAAAATAAAAGAAAAAAGCATCAGATTCAGGTCCTTTGATTTTCTGGGTCCCGCTACTGGTCTTAGTTGACCCTTTTCTCCCAGGATGTGGCCCTAAGGTGGTCCATTAGACATCACCCAAAAGTGAAACATCTGGAGGATTCAACTCCTAAATAAAAAGAGTCAGACATGTTTGTTTCATATAGGTCTACTTTATTCTACAAGGAAATCCAGACATAATGGTGACAAGATTAGGCAATGCGGCATAGGTTATATGGGAGAAGAAGTGTGTTTTGTGTGAACTGGAATCACAAGATAGATTCAACACTTTCCAAAATGAACAAATTTAAGTTTGTTGTCAGTTTTTCTGTGGAGAGAAAATAGCAACAAATGAAAATTGTTGAGGCCATAGGCATTTTATTAGCATCCAGAACTAATTAGCATTCACTAATGAATCCCCAAGTCCATCCACTCATTGATGTTTTTAAAAGGAGGGAGTGACTGGGGGCGCCTGGGTCACTCAGTCTGTTAAGCATCTGCCTTCTGGTCAGGTCATGATCTCAGCGTCCTGGGATCGAGCCCCGTGTCTGGCTCCATGCTCAGTGGGGAGTCTGCTTGTCCCTTTCCCTCTGGGCCCCCTCCCCCTTCTCCCGCTCTCTCTCTCAAATAAATAAAATCTTCTAAAAAAAGTAATTTTTTTCTGATAAAAAAACAAACCAGAACGATATGCCATCTATATTAGTTGTTTGTTTTCATTCATGTAAGTATTGAAAATACTTAAAAGGATCTATATGTTTCTATACATTCTAGTATATCATGCACCATCTTATATTTTTCGAGCTGGTACTAATATATCTTTCAGATGATTACTTTGTAGCCTTAAGCTATTTTTGGCTATTTGATTTTCAAATTTAATTTTTATTAGAGCTTCAATACATATTTTGTTGAGAAATCACACTCTGAAACAAAAATTTCTTTAGGATTTTTAGATATTATCCCCTTTTGTGCCAATAATTAGGGGGCTCTAACACATCTAAACTTAATTATTAAAACTGAACAATAGATACGGTTCATTCTGACAGATGACTGGCCTGGCATGCCTAGGAGGAGAGATGTTCCTTGTCCCTTGAAATAATGAAGCACACACTGTGGGATGACTTGAGTTTTTTGTAAGGGAATTCAAATAATAGATTAGTAGGTGGACATTGAACTAGATGACCCTCAAATTTCCTTCCAACTTACAGATTCTAGGATTCTTTGATTTACTCTTACTGCCAGAACACCCACAGATCCAAAGACACTAGGGACCCCAAATTCTGTGTATTCATCATATTTACATATTCATTGTGCCCTAAACCACTTCTTCTAATTGAGGTATATTTGTCATAACACTTAATTACACATTAAATATAGAAAAGAAAAATATTTCAATACTTACTGAACTTCAAAACAGAAGAAGCAATCATTAGGGTAAGTTTTGCCATCGGATCCACAAATTGGTGCATATATTTCATGACAAAATCCCTCTTTTCCTGGTGGTGACTTTTTATATTTACTGCAGTCAACCTGGAAATACATATTAAAAGGCTTCAACCAAATTTTTATTCCCAGGATTTAGGATTTCCCAAGCGAGTTTAGAGGGCTCTCAAATCATTTGTTTCTTATTCTAATTGTCCCCATCTAACCCCTTTGAGATATATCAAGTATAAAGATTTCTTGCATCAGATATAAAATCATGAGTGATAAACCTCTTTATGGTAGCTTGTAACCACATAATTTACCTAAAAATTAAGAATTTAAATTTAAAAATACACATGGCAGATTCACAGATGTAATCATTCCCACGATGTTAGTTTTCTACACATCCTATTTCTCTCTTTCCCTTAAAAAGTTCTATCTGAATGCAAGTGTGAGATGTATTATAGGGATACTTCCTATAGTTTTAAGAACTAGCACATCATTAGCAACTTTTACCATTAATCATTGATCACAAAGCACGTGTTATACATTTCATCAGTGCATAGACAGACACATGTATTTTGCTATTGTAGTTGAGAAGCAACCACTGTTGTAAATGCTAGGAGCAAAGCCAACGTGAAGTCCCCTGCAGGAGCAGGTATGCAATCACCAAGACAGAGTTTTCTGGGGTTTTCACCTATGAGCAAATTGAAGAGTGTGGACAGTAAAAGTCAAACACATCAGATTTCAAATCCTGACTATATGACCCTGGGACCATCATTTTACTTCTCTAAGCTTTGGTTTCTTTACCTGCAAAGTAAGGGCGATAATAACTACATTGTAAGGTTAAAGTAAAAAATATATAATCAAGAAGATACGTGTAAAATGCTTAGCATTTAATGACATGGAAAATACTGAAAAAATACTAGTTTTATCCCTTGGCTTTACGTTCAGGACTACACAAACTCTAGCTCTATACAGAAGACTTTACATTTCCAGTTTTTCTGACTCAGAGTTCCACGTGTGATGTCTTACTAATTGTTGAATATCGCCACTTGGGTAGCCTGAAATATACCCAAACTTCAGGTTAAATTCATCTTCCCCTTCAGCTATGTTCCATTAATTAACCCATTCATTCCTTTGGTTGCCGTATGCCATGTACCTTCTAAGTTTTAGGGCTGAGGGGATGGCTGGCAACACAAAGATTAGCAAGCATGATAAAATGGCAGAAGGAGCTCAGAAGCTGGTGGAGTCTAGTGGAGAATGGGAATGATGGTGCCCCTTGATGAGTATATATCAGCCTGATTTCACTTCTTGCCTGCTCAAACCCCAGTGTTGGGACTTAAGTCATATGCACAGTTTGACCAGAAACTACCAAGGCTTCATATTCATTAACCTTTTTCATTCTCAAGCAGCTACTAAATCATGAAGGATGGCTTGGACTCAGGACTGTCTGACTCCAAAATTTACACTCTTCACCCTCTTATTCTCTTTAATACATAAAATGAAAGACTCAAAAGAAGTGAAAGGAGCTGCCTAGGCCCTGCAGGCATACAGCTAAAAAGCCATTGAGCTTGGACTCCTGGTTTAAAGTTTTTACTACCACACCTAGATTTTCTCAACAACAGTTACTGCTTAATATGAGTCATAAAGGGAAGGTTAAATTAAAATCTTCATTCCCTAAGATAAAGAACAAAGATGTATGTGACCCATTTAACAATTATAAGAATCATGACTTGTCCTTCTTGAGCTTTACTAGGTGCCAGGTACTGTGCTCAACTCTCTTCAAACACTGAGGTTTTAATCCTCACAATAAGCTTATGGGCAAGTATTGTTGCCCATGGCCATATGATCAAGGAGCTGGAATTCAAACCCAGGACTTTATAACTCGGATGCTAGGTATCTAACCACTTTGTTCTACTATGTCCATTTCAGAAAGGTCTCTTAATAGTTTTTTAAAATAAAATCAGTTTTGATAGTTAAAAAAATCATCAAACATGTAGCAATTTAATTAATGTAAAGTAGCAAATATTTCCTTGTTGATACCGGCTTTAAAATTACATAGAAGTGGGACTTTTATATCAAGGTGGATGTACTGACCTGTTGCGGGCGTGCAGCACATTCTACGTCTGTGAGAAAAACAAAGACAAGAGAAACCAAATAAACTCTGGAAGAACCCAAGCTTGTTTAAAAAAAGGGTCTTTCATTTATGTTTCAGCTCTCAGCCTAACAAAAATATAAGACTCTCTTCAGAACTGTGTATCAATATAATAGCAAAGGTTGAAGCTCAACATAGATTTTTTTTTTCTTTTTTGGATGGGATGAGAACATAGCCAAAAGCATGGAGAAGCTACTATAATGATGAGTTTTGTTCTTTCCTACCTCATAATCAGAGTTTAGGAAATATTGAAAAAAAGAAGTGGTTTTATATCTAGTGAATGTCTGCTATTGTGTAGTAGGCATAGATGGCAGAAGCTGGACCAGCAGCTGAAAATTCTTAGGAAGCAGATTTCAACTCAATGCAAAAATAATAATATCTCATGCTGCCAAACAATGGATGGGACATTTAAAAAAAAAAATTTAAATTTAATTAGTCAACATACAGTGCATCATTCGTTTAAGATGTAGTGTTCAGTGACTCATCAGTTCAGTATAACACCCAGTGCTCATCACATCGCGTGCCCTCCTTAATGCCCATCACCCAGTTACCCCATCCCCCCACCCGCCTCCCCTTCTGCTACCCTCAGTTGATGGGACAGTTTTATAAAGAAATGAGGTCCCCATAAATGGAGATATCAAGTCAAAGCAGAGTCTGGATGTACACTTACCAAAGAAGTTATACAAAATGTTTATGTGGATAAGAATTTGGCCTTAGCTGACCATTTAGGTCAACTCAGCCCCAAAGATGGTATCATTTAGCAATTTATTGGTAGAGACAAAAGAAATGCATTTCAAAAAGCTTCCTTATTATCTACGTGCTGTGTATATCCCAAAATGCTGTGAGCAAAAGATGACATGAGCTGCTGGTATCAGGATAGGGGTGGTGTTATGAGGGAGATACTTACTGAAGATGGTCATAAGTGCCAGAGCCAAGAGCAGGGCACAAGCTGTTGCTTTCATGCTGCTGAAGTGGCCAAGCGCGGTCAGATGGTGGCAAAACAAATGACTTTCTGGTGTCTGCTCAGCCCACTTGGGTCCTGCCTTATATATTGTCAAGAGTTCCCACCTCGATTATGAGATAGCTATTTCCAGAAACAGAATCATGGGAAGAGGTCAGAAACATTCGCCAGTGTGGGAATTCTTTTATTGTGAAATCAAATAGTTGCTCATAGCATTTTAATAGATAATAGAACCCAATAAAGCTGTTGTTATTTCCTTATTTCTTTATATACTTGAGAGTTTGAGTGCTTTCACATCTGTTATACCATTGGATCTTCATAACAAATCTATTGGATAGTTATTACCATTTTCTTTGTGTTACAGATGAGAAAATGAAGTGACAGAGAAGTTAAGTAATTTCAACTGGGTTTATTACATATTCATCTTTGTACTACTTCCGGGAACACTCATCAGCATGGCAGCCTTCTAAGTTCGGACATTTTCCCGGTTTCCCCTCTTTCTTCTGACACCAAATAGGAAATGTTGCCAGATGAGACTCCAGACTGGGTACAGAGAAAAAGTATCAACACCCAAGTCTTTTTTTGGGTGGGGGGGAGCGGGGCAGAGGGACAAGGAGAGAGAGAATCTCAAGCAGGCTCCACACCCAGCATGGAGCCTGTCACGGGGCTCAATCCCATGACCCCAAGATCATGACCTGAGCCAAGATCAAGAGTCGGATGCTTAACAGGCTGAGCCACCCAGGTGCCTCAACACCCAAGTCTTGATTCGGCAGAAACAAGCAATGATTGATGCTCTTTAGAAGGGGGGATAATTTTCCCAAGAATCTAAATCTGAGAAGATGGAACAGTGGGTGGAGCTGGTGAGCAGTCACACCTCATTTACCTTCCAGATCTCTGGTGGAAGCCTCTTTATCAAGGGCACTTGGGAGAAGGGACTACTCAAGGGCAATAATAAAAAGCTATGTGACCATCTTAGCCAGTAGTGGATTTGTTGACTGCAGTGGCTGGACTGTCCCTAAAGCTTTGGCCATGATTTTCTAGTCCTCAAAACACAGCCTGATGATTCAAGAATGAGATGTTGACTTTGCCCTGGGCCATGGTTACATACGAGGCCAGTGACATCTTACACTAATACAATCATTTTTAACAGACAAGCTCACCAATCATTTGGCCATGGTTTAAATAGGTTTAATTGTGCTTTATCAAACCATGTTTCTTTTGAAATCTCTGATAAAGGCTACAAGGACACTTATTTTGGCATGTGCCAATTTTCAATACAGTGACTCTGTGAGAAGACCTTGAAAGCAGCTCTTGCAGTTTGGGTAGACAGAGTTGGAAGACACTGTATATACCACTAGTGGAAGTAGTGCCAAAGACTGAGAGATTGAAACTCACAACTGTTTCCCTTCAAAAGGATAAAGACACCTGAAACCTGTGCTGGTCTGGGGGGCGGGCATCATTATATTACTGAGAGTTGAAATTCTAAGCGTCTTGCAGAGCTGAATTCATTGCCAGCTTCACCATTCCCTTCATGACTTGGTGTAAGTTATTGAACTCTTAGTAGCCTTGGTTTCTTAATGTTCATTTAATCATTCAGTAAATATTAATGAGCATTTTCTCTTAGAAACTATATTACAACTTGGGCATACCATGAATAATGAGAAACTTTGCCACTGTCTTCATTATACCTTGACAAGGACTTTGTTCTTGACTGAACTGTAGTTAGGCTGCTCTGAGTCCTTTTCTTGATTTGGCCTTAACCTTGCTCCCCACCTCCCCTCCATCTCGTGTCTTCAGCCTGCCCCTTTCAGTCTTGGCATAGAATCCTGATAAGTCATCTCCCTACCACTGATATCTGATCACTCTTGATATCTGATCAAGTTATTCATTCCCCACTTTTAATATATAAGTCCTTGGTCAGCCTTTAGCAAGAATCTTCCTATTCTTGGCAACTCTCATTAATAATTTTCCATCTACTGACCCCCTCAACTTGCTCCTTGGCTAAAAATCCCCACTTGTTTTATGCAGACTTGAGCCCAATCTCTCTCTCCTATTGCAATAGGAGCTTTCAAGATTTATACCTTGAGTGACACCTTCCTAACCATTTTAACAAGTGTCAAATACTTTAACAAGCTTACAAAATAAAGTTAGTGGGACCACCATCATAAGCTTGTTGTAAGTTTCAAATGAGGTTGTATTTGTAAAGTTCTTGTCCAGGGTCTGGAACATAGAAAGCTCTTAACAAATTTTGGTATTTGATGATAATCATGATAGTGGAGAGAATGACAGTGACTGTGGTCTAAAGAAAAGACTCAGAAAGCACTTAAGAAGTATCTTAAAATAAGCAAATGGTGTATCTTGGTGGCCATACTGGAAATAATACATACTGGCACGTGATCACAAAAGGAACTTTATGATGATCAGTAATGTTTGATAATGACTAGAGGTAATGAGAATCTTATCCTTTTAAGTGTCTCATTGGAGGTCAAATGAATACTTCTCAGGGACTCTGCAGAGGTGATTCCTTTACTGAATGGCCTCTATCCACATTTTTAAACTTTTCTTTTTTAACAGCAAAATACTTTGTTTAATGACAATAGCAATACCAGTAATAATATTTACTGAGCACTAATTATGTGTCAGGTAGTTTTGGAATTGTTATATGGCTATTAACTTATTTAAATTTTAAAACTATGTTAGATAAATACTACTATCAAGACTTTACAAATAAAGGGAGAGAGGCACAAAGAAAATAAACAAGTTGTCCAAGATCACAAGAGAGCATAGTGGAACTGGAAAATGTTGTATAGAAGCATAATACACTAAACAGACAACAGAGGTTCTCCATTACTTGAAGAAGGACTGTGGCATCTTGGGTTCCTTGACCCCATCTTCCCATAATGGCCCTTGAGTCACACTCATGGAGTCCCTAGGGGTCCACAGGATAATTTGAAGATCACTAGTCTAGGAGAGAAGTTCCCAAATTCCACCCTCAGACAGCAACTCCAGCAGGTGGGTCCATAGGGGTTCAGTGGAGGAAAGTACTACTTGAAGGAGAGCTTATCTGGATCAGAGCCTCAGCTTGGCTGGTTGTAAGAGTGTGAATGCAGAAGGGAGAAGGCAGAAAAAGAGGGTGATTTAGAAGGAGCAAGTTCACACAGAGTTCCAGCGCCATAAAGGAGATTCTCCAGTTCAGGGAATAAAGCAGTCATCTGAATTGAAGCCCAAGAAGAACTGAATCTCAAGATTTTAGATATAAGATTAGAGGAGAACTAATATAAGGGTGATTCTCTGGAGGGTGTCAGAGGGCTGGGCTGGCTGAGGCTGTAATTGCTAAAACCTCTTCTACTTCTGAGGAAGACGGGCCAAGAGTTTAGGAGCTGTTGATGTGCATGCATGGGTTAAGTGGTCACCGCTGGAGGGGAAATGTTGCAGGATCTGGGAATCAGGAAAACTTTGACACAAAGTCCCTTGAGCTCTTCAGAAATGTCTTTCCACACAATGGCAGTCCTTTCCTCCTAATAAGCAAGACCTTTTAGGCAGCCCTGAGTTACACTAAGAAAAGGAAGAGGAAGAAGAAGAAGAAGGAGAAGGAGGAGGAGGAGGAGAAGAAGGAGAAGGAGAGGAAGGAGGAGAAGGAGGGGAAGGAGAAGGAGAAGAAGGAGAAGAAGGAGAAGGAGAAGAAGGAGAAGGAGAAGAAGGAGAAGGAGAAGAAGGAGAAGAAGGAGAAGGAGAAGA